TATATATATAAGGGAGATAAAATAACATCCAGAAAATAGACTTGTTTTATAAATTAAAGGTTGCTTTATCATTTGTTTTTACTACAGATTCTATCCTTATTGGAAGACATATGCTCGAATAGTATAGCAACCGCTACAATGCAATGTTATATTATCCTTCTAGCAGAATATCTTCTAATTGTTTAAAAGATATTGGAGGAGGAAATCTGTTTCTCATTCTGCTCTTGAAAATAAAATGATTTGATGATTAAATTAGGCAATTGCATTGATCAAGAAAGGTATTAAAGTTCTCGAAGATAGAGAATAATTTTGGAAAATAGAGTAAGAAACAAATTTCCTATTCTCATATTATTTATATAAGCAATTGAGAAAAATGATCTACTAAGAGAATTTAAAAATCGAATGATAATTATTTAAACATTATGTGACTTTATTTCAACAAGGATGTATACTAAAAGCAATTAATGGGCCAATTTATTATAATAATAAAAAAAAATAGTGTATATATATATATATCTTCTAGATGTTCATATTATTTCGTCTATTTCCTGTATCTCTTTAAATAAATATAATAATATTTGAACTTTTATACTGCTTTATTCATATTGCACTCAATATTACAATTAAGTAACTTCAATTACCTTCGATGAGAACTTTTCTTTTTCTTGTGTTTCTTATGTAGTTTGTGGCGGTCTGTGCGACTTCCGCTCCGACTCCTGGAACGTTGTCGCGATCTCTTGCCGCTCAGATCCGCGCTCTTCAATCGATCCATTAAGGAATTACTGCACGTTTTGGTATCTTGTAAAGATTTGTCTTTATTGTCTTCTAGGGATGGCGATGGCACGGAGTGTACTTCGTCTGAATCGTCCTTTCGGAAATTCGGATTCACTGTAGTAGAACCAGTCTTAAGTGCTGGTGTCTGGATGTTGCTGAGAAATATAGCAGCTCTCTTTTTTCTTTCAAGTTGCAACTGTCGTTCTTTGGAAAGTAATTTATCTCGCGCGGCCGCTGCCAATTTATCTTTGATTCTGTCTTCTTGTGCTTGTTTCTGCCTGATTTCCTTCTGACAATCCTCGAGAATATCATCCGTTAAATCCACCAACTCTTTGTCATCGCTCTTCAGTTTCTTCTCTAATTTCGGTAGATCTTTGTCTCCAATAGCAATCGAAAAACTGGCATCGGCAGTACTATCTTCAGGCGAACCGGGCTTAGAGTTAATATCCTTTTTGTCGCTCTCCATCTCTTCATCGCTCTCCTCCAATGGTAACGCATTCCTTTTCTCAATCACCGTGCTTTCCCCATCTTTCGGCTTTTTGATGGAGAACGATACAGTGGTAATCTGTTTCGCAGATCCTGTGCTCTGTTTCATTTTCGAGTCTCCACCATTCTTCTTCTTTGCTTGTATCATTTTCACTCGCTTCTGAACTTCCTCCATTCGCTGTTGTTTCTTCTGCAATTCCTCCAATTTTTTCTGCTTCTCTTCCTGTGGTTCCTGTTTCTGCAATAATTGTTCCTCCGTCAACACTTTCGGATTTATCGCACCCTCGTACACAGTCAGTTTGTGCGCGTAGTAACCATGATACTGATGGGACAGCTCCAAGAAATTGAATCGAGGATCCCCTTTATTCTTCACGATCGTTTCAAAATCGCGCCCGTTCTTCGCCACATAACTCGCCATCTTGTCAATGATGATCTGAACATCTGCTGGTGGCACAATAAAGGACGGCCGGCTTAATGGTTTTTGCGCAGGTATTCCATATGGTACTAACGGCGTGGGTGTCTCTTTAGGTGATGAGGTTTGCGACGTGATCGTGTCGTTCGGCATAATTGGCATGGCGAGTTGTGAAGGTGATTGCATTTGTCCGTTTGACCCATATATAACTGGACCATGTGAGTACTGTATGGGCGTGGGATAAGGATAACTCTGGAAAAAAAGAAGTGATAATGTAATGAAAATAATATTAAAATGTTCATGCAAACTTTGATATATTATTAATTTATCCTATTATTATGTTGGAACCTGTGTTGTACCTGTGGTGGCATCGTATGATAGTATCCTGTAGATGACATTGATTGCATCGTCGCATCTAACCCTTGTGATGTTTTGGATGGTGGTGGTTTTCCTGTGATCTTGTTCACAAGCATGGAATATGCACAATCCGCTGACGGTTTATACTGTATGCTCGGTATACTAGGTGCCTACAAGCGGAAAGAATTCTCTTATAGTAATTCTGTACATATTTAATTTATTCTAAATTTATTTATATATCCTCTATGGTATCCATTAAAGTACAACTGGAAATATAATGAATTTATTATATATCTACATTATATCTATGAATATAAACTTTAGATAATTTAAAAAGATATGAGAAAATTGTTTCGAAAAGCATATTTTTTTAATATACAATAAATTGCTATTTATAAATAGTGAACAATTTTAATAATAATGATTGTTGTATATACTTGCAAAGGAGCCTATTCTGTAATTCTTAACAACTGAAACGCTATAATCACAGAATAGGCCCCTTATATTAATTATATTTAAATTGTTTTACTTCATTATTCCTCTATTGACAAGTGATAAAATGATAAAATGATAAACGTATTTGCTGGATTTTTTAGACTACCATTTATACATTGAATGCGCATGAAAAAGGATAAAATTTTTAATTTTAAATGGTGCAATAAATGAATAAATAAAAATGTACGAGAATAGATCCAATGCATACCAGAATCAGTCCTGGAAGCAGAAATATTTGACACATAAATTAGTGTTGCAGAGTATTAATACATTTCATCCTACTGTGATCTGTGCGAATTTTAAGATTGCCATTCTTAAAAATAATGTGGTCCAGCTAGGGATCTTCATACTTTGAACTACTCGGAACATAAAATTCTTCTGCATGAGAGCACAGGGACCGCTTATGCATTTTTAAGAACAGATTAATGTACAACGTGCAAAGTAACATGTATACCGTGCAAAACATACCGCTTCGATCTTGGTAAGTGATGATGCGAGACTTGGATGCAGATACGATTCGTCATCTTGGTCAGACTCTTCCTCTGGTTCTTGAAAGAAAGGATAACAATAAGACTCACGCACATCTCAAGATCATCAAGATGGATTACGCATAGGTTACCAATTATAGAGTATTAACAAAAATTTATGGCAATACTTACGGTAAGAAAAAATTAAGTAGAATCAAAGTAGGTGTGGGTAATCAAATCCTGCTTTATGTTGCTTCAATTACTTCAACTCAACTTCAATATAATTACTATAAGACATTGCTTGTTATAGAAAATGATATGCATACCGGATTCTTCTTTCTCAGGTTGTTTTTCAGGATTATATTTTCCACTCTTGATAGCATCGAGGACATATTTGTAATATTGATGGAGCGGCTCATCTATCGATAGGAATGCGAATTGAGGATTGTTTGCCTGTTTCGTCTTAATGAGGATTTCCAATTGGCTTCCGTGTTGACTTATAAACAGCGCCGTTTTCATTATAATGGCATTCAGTTTCTGTGTTTCCGGCTAAACATTCACAAAGCCAACATATTATATAATCATATTATCTAATACTCATGAATATAAGAAAATAAGTGCAAAGCGACATCTTACTAGGATCATTCCCTCAGGAATTTCCAGTTCAGGCGGCGGCACGAATGCCTGATCTTCCTCTTGCGAGCCCTCCGATTGTTTCGAGCTCTGAGAATCCTCGCCAGAGGCTTTATGACCATTTTCATCTTCATTATAATTATATCCTACTTGATTGTACGAAGATTCGGAATCCAATGCTTGATGCAACCTCTTTATCTCCTCTTCTACAAATTTGTGATTAAACTTTTCTAATATCCAAGAAGAAAGTTAATAAGAAATATACTCAAAACGTTCTTGAAATAAAAGAAATACGTTACCATGATACATAGATTCCTCTGCATCATTATTGTAGATGGACCGATACCGCTCCTCATCACAGAGTTGTTCTACTTTCAGTTCTTCCTCGGTAAGTATTGTCCGTTGATCAAAACCACCTGGTGGTGGCTCGTGAATCCGTAAGTCAGCCAGCGCCCCTCGTCCATCGTACCTATACACATACAATACATCTGTTAGAGGAAGAAGATGATATCGTTTTAGTTGTTTTCATATACAAGTTGGTCACAGCATCTGGAAATGTTAAGTCAAGAAGTAAATCCCACCAAAGCGATTTTTCTGAAATAGAACAGAGCTATAAAGGATGCCTCGAGTAACGTTTCTACCTCTGCTTTTTTGAAATATCAACATACTACAATAATGTAGACAAATATTTTACATATATATATATATATATATCATTTCTAAATTACAGTATTACATTCAATTACATTTATTTTTAAATTTAGCATACAAATACTCGAATGTAGAGATCTATTACATCTTGTTACACATACATGTTTAAGATCGATATAACATGGAAACTCAAATCTATTGCTGACGCAAATTAGGACGCATTCCACTCGACGCTCCCAACGCTCACGGAATCATTTCATCCTTGTTATTTATCAAGTGTTAAACAAAAACAAATAATACTCACGAATGTTGTGAGCACAAAGTGGAACGCAATTGAACATACACGCATGTGTATGTATTATAGAGACTGTCGAAAGGAAATCCATAACTGTAAGCTTGTGAGTATAACAATGTCCTGGTGCGCGTCTCCCGAGGCAAAGCCCGAATCTAATGTGCCAATACATACCGTGCTGAACGGTCGTATAAATACCTACAACCGTCAGCCTTTGCCCATTTGTCTCTCAACGCCGTGTCTCACCTTGCTGCTGCACAGGCGGCCAGCCATAAGCGTCACGTCTCACCACAGCACCCGTGCAGAGCGCGTAAATCGCGCTGCCACACTGCGCGTTTTTCACAGCCGAGAGAACACCTGCGGAAGCCTTAAACAGTCTCCAGTTTGCTTATCCAGAGATTAACGATGAGAAGGGGGGACCTCGCTTTTTTGCTTCTAAATGCAGTACTTGGTTTTGATTTATTTTTGTTTTTGAATTTGGTGGTCGGTTTTTTTTTTGCGGTCAGTCGTTACTTTTTTCGTTACGTTTCGTTGTCGGGGAAACGTAACGGTGCGTGGTCATTTATGGCATGAGAACAAATATCCTAGATGAGAAATTTGTCTAGGTTAGAGAAACGGACCTGTCTATCCTCAACGTGTTATCGCCCATCCATGGTATCAAATGCTTTCCCTGATCAATCATTTTCGCCTTGTCATCATCGCGAAATAATTTGCAGCTATATCCAAACACCAACAGCTCCTGCGGTTCCTCGTCGCTATTCTTTTTACGCAGAATGCCCGAGTCTACCATCCACCGTTGGCTTTTCGAGGACGCCATTTTCCGTTTCAACTGCTCCGATCCGACATCCGACTGCTTCGAGCGACTTCGCTTCGAGCTTCGAGTCAATTCGACCGGATGATGACGCCGGGCCGGAGGAGTGAACGAGGGGAAGGGATGATAAGGACGAATGCGTGAGGAAAATGCGCGTTACTTCCACTTCCGGGATGCGCGCGCACGGAATGCGAGGAACGTCCACGAATAAAATGTACGTCGTGTTTAAAATTCGTGATATCCGAGGAAAATTGGCGTACAATTAACGCTTCAACTTCATTCTTTCTTAAAGATTTAAAATATTAAAATATTAAATATAATATATAATTTGAACACACGAGCTATATAAATATTTGTACTGACAATACAATTGCACGAAACCTCAAGTAATTTATATCTTTTTACGTGAAACTTTCCACATTATTGGACCTATTCTTTCCTGCACTACATTAAAAAAATATATAAGAAATTTTAGTAAACGTTTGTTTGAATAATATTTAATTCAAATTAATTGAAATAATTATTAATATTTGATTTAAATTAATAAATAATATTGAAATAATATTAATATTTGATTAAAATTAATTTGATTCAACGACCAGTAAATATTTATTTACCATACGTAAACATATTAAAAACAAATATATTTGTTAAAATTTTGTATATTTTTCTCAATGTAGACTGCACTAGAACTTTCTTTCTCGCTTTAACCAAATATCAAACATATTTTATTTTAAGTTTTAAAAGTGTATTTCTATTTATGAAAAATAGACATTTTTTTTCTATCGAAAAACGACGCAATCGTTATCGAGCCGATTCAAATCGACCGCCACGGTGCTGGCGTTGGACGACCGGGCGGGGGCGCTCCGATCGCTGCTGAGTTGCCGATGATCGCGCGCTTATTTATCGCACATCGCACGGGATTTCGTTACGGGCGACTTTAATCAGCGATAAACGGCGTATTTCGCGTCCGCGGATCGTCATATACAACGGCGTGCGCGTCCGCCGGCAATTGGCCGCGCGGTAGCACCGCGTACCGCCCTCTCAGTACGTTATGGAATGCGCGACGGACTGCTACCGTGTTACGCGGCTCCGCACGATGCCCGGCCGTAGAGGCACGCCAACGGACCGGAATACGTACGTGCGACGCGGCCGTGGCTACGACGTCTCGCCGCCTGACACTGGACACGGTACGTGCCCCTGCCATCGACTATCGTGCATCCTTCGACCGTTTGTCGATCACGCGAGTCCCCGTGTCATTTCTCGCCGCCGTCGCCGTCGGTAGCACAACGTATACGTGGCAACAGAGCGAGTGTGGCCGCTGTGCCGTGCGAGCGCTGTGTGCTCCGTGGGTGTCACTTCCTAGTCCGCGAGGGATCCCGTGGCGTGCGTTCGCCACCGATTCGTGGGGACCCCGCATTTGATCGTATACCCCGCGTAACGTACGCCGCGTCTTGGAACGGGGATCATCAGCCCCGTGTCCAACGCGACGCGCGACGCGGGACGGAGACGGGGACGGGGAAACGAGAACGGGAACGCGAAGCGACGCGACGCCGCGGATCCCCGTGCGTGATCGGAACCCCCTCGGGGGTGTGCTCAACACCTCGGTCACCCGCCGACAACGAAACGTCGGCGTCGTCGACCCGGTGTTACGTTCATCCTGTTGCGCGCGCGATCTGCCATTGAAGACTCTTCTCTTATCTTGGAACGAGCGAATTCCTGGATCTTGAAGAATCGGGGGTTTAGCGTCGTCGAGCACGTTGCCGAAGGATATTGAACTGCCGTTCGCAACGTCTTTTAGGAGCCAGGAAGCAGTCCCTTCTCAGCGAAGATAGCTCGGTGGGAATTTATAATGGTGTAAGTTGGCCTGTTGCCTACTGGCTTCTGGTGTTACACATAAGTCATCGTCTACCGCGCTTCTGCCGTGTTGCTGATATCCAAAGTGACTTTGCGTTTGTACAAAGAAGTGCGCGTACATTTTCAAGCTCACAGAGTAATAATAAAGCAGGATAATTGCATGAAAAAGAAATAGAAAAATATTTGAAGGAATTTGAAGAAATTAAAGTGCCAAAGTATATAATCATTTGATAATACTGCAGGTGCAGTTAATAAATCTCAATTATTTCATTTTTCTCTTCAGAACGTCAACCTTATGCAAACGTTTGTATGACTTTCTTCACAAAAGTCCCATGAAAAATAAAAAATGTATGTTTAAATTTAGAATCGACTTAATAGCAATATTTAGGCTATGTTTCAAAAATTCATTGCCAGTAGTAGAAATCTATAGTACATGTAACATAAACTATAGACTTTTAGCACTGGCAATAGATTTTGGAACAGCCTTGATCAGTAGATTTTAATTAGTCATTAATCATAAGGTATGGAATCCATATTATGAATATATGAGATTAAGAGGTCTGTAAACCAAGTCCCATCTTGGCATGTAAGATAAAGAAATTGGCTGCATTCAATAGAAAAAGCAGCTTTGTAATTGTTGCAAAATTTTTTGATATGATTGGTTGTTTTCCTTACTGGCTCTAAATATATAAACCAATCATATTGAAAAATCTTATAACAATTACAAAGCTGCTTTTTTTTATGAGTTAGTCATTGTAAACCAAGTCCTTTGATGTATGAGCTGAAGTAATAAATTTTATTCTATTTGCAACAGGTATTCCCGGTGGGTCTGCTTATCAGCTGACTACAATGGCTAACTACAATGGACTGACACAGAATACGATCGACTTGGTACTTGGATGCTCCTCTCTTTGCGGCATCTCTTGCATAAAAGAGTTAGCTTGACGAGAGTTAATGGTGCACCCTGTTGCTGTTGTCCTCCAGTCAACGTAATGGAGGAGCCGGTTAAGAAAAAGCAGCGCATCGAGATTAGCGCAGGTAGCAAAAACTTGCTTGCCGATATCGAAGAGCTACAGAGGAACCTGCTTGCTCGATGCTTGTGCAATATGCCGGAGAGCAGTTTGCGCAAGCCGTTCACCAGCTTTACAGTGGAGGAGACTGACGGTAGCATCCGTTATGCTGTTCTGTCTGATTGGAACACAGTTCAGATCCTGGAGTATCTTAGCGCCCTGCAGCTGTTGTTCGAGCTGGCCATCAAGCAGAACGCGAAGAATGTTATGTGCAAACGAGTGGCGGACGTCTGCGACGCGGTGGCGCGGAACGAGCATGGCATCGTCGATCAGATTATCGACCTATCTAAATTCGTGTCGTATGCAGCGAGTCGCGTGATCGCATCGTTCTTCATCGTCTCGAGAGACAATGTGGAAACCGCCTGGTTGGAGAAACTCACGCAGTCCCTAGTTAACACGCATTCGCCCAACCAGATGCTGTTCACCCTGGATGTGGTCAAGAGAGTGGTCGAACATAAAGATTGTAGTATACATCCAGAGGATGGAGACACATACGTGCCACCATCCGGTTGCAATACTTTCGTCATCACAGACTTTGATAGTACGACGATCAAAGCGATGTGCGTGAAGGCGCTCGAGTCTAAGTGGACCATTCTTGTGTCCAAGTTCAATGACATTCTTGGGGCGTACACGCCGCAACACGCGTCCGTTGTCATCACATTTCTACATTTGTGGGAAACCATTATTTCGGTCAAAGCCAATCTTTCTGTCATCGACACCAAGACGTTTTATTCGCAGCTGAATAATCTCGTGCTGTTATTAAATGCTAATGTGCCAGGCGTAATCTGGCGACATTTGCTTAGACTCTTCAACGAGGTACTGTGCTATGGTAGTACTTTAGCACTACAAGACGTACTACCGGACGAGCCGTGCTCCCTAGCGCATCTGATCGTGCGCGCCGTCAAGGATTGGCGTTTGCTCGATGCGTTGCCGTACCGTCACGGTTCTGGCAGGTTTGGCGGTGGCACTAGCGAGGGTGATCGTCCTCTGCTGCAGAAAATGGTGCTGTTAGTGCTGAAAAGCGTCGCCGTGACAGTACGGGAGACACGCAGCGACTCCAGCGACTCGTCCCTCGGTTCTGAAGTCGAAGATCTCGATGAAGACATGGCGGTGATTGAGAGGAGTATTCGCGAAGTACTACGTCAACTGGATCAGTGCGTAAAGGCGTTGATGCCCTTTCATCCGGAGATGCCGCTGTCGCAATGGGTCGTCCAGATGTTTCATGACCAGGATGATTTTCTCATAGAGGGTATGGTCTGCTGTCTAGATGTTGCCGTGGGCTTATTCTATCGCGGTCCACCACAAAATGATCTGGGCCAGATGCTCAGCCCTACGTTGACCTTTGTGCAATTTATTCACGCCGTATCACACGACCCGGGCGTTCTGCTGGATCTGCTTGTCAGTAACGAGACTTGCTTTCTGCTGTATCTCTTGCGATTTCTCAAGTACATTAAACGTAATTGGATTGAATTCGTCAGGTGTTGCGGCCGTGAGCTAGACAACACCATGACTGTACTGATAAGACTACGATTGTCCATTGATCGGTTGGTATCCAAGAATCTGTTTCCTTATAATATTATTCCGGTTCTTCGTCTACTCGAGAAATGCGAATCTTTTTACGAAGGTAACGTGGAGAACGGTTAACAATATCATGTAACATAAAGGAGATATTTGGAGAGATTCGAATCGCCACCAAGTCGACTGAGTGTGTACATTGTATGAATAGAAGTATTCTCCGATCTTAGCTTGGAATATCTATCTAGGCTCGGAGAACGTTCCATTCATACAATTCCGTTCACAATAGATTTTGCCATCTGTAAAATATCATGTGTAGTGTACAGATTGCCGCATACCGTCCCGTAAACGTGAAACGGTCGGATTGACTCGCCGATTCGTCTTCTTGAGTTTTTCGAGCATCGATGTCGAGGACAGATGTCTTTAATGTTCAAAAAACTCAGGAAGATGAATGCGTTTCTTATTTATTAGTCTTTAGCGAAATTTTTCAATATAGCTGGAATTGCAAGATGGAAGAACTTCCATCTATTTACGAATTAGCGGAGTATTGAGAATTATTCAACCGCGATCAAGTCGGAGTACAAAAAAAAAAAGAACGAAATTCGCGTTGATTAAGTCTCAAAACGAAACTTCGTTTGTGTGTCTTACAGAAATCTAATACTGGACAATTTAATGTTGGAAGTTACTTATTTTAAAAGCACTAAACAATCAGCCAAGTCTGTTTGAAACAAATTTTGTTGATAAAAAGTACTAAATTTGATACAAATTCTGTTATATTCAATGAATGGCAAATTGATGGCAGATGTACAAAAAATCCACTGATAAATTATGAGAATAAATTGTTAACAAATCATGCAAATAAATATACAATAAAATCCACTGAAAATTATGAGAATAAATTGTTAATAAATCGTGCAAAACTTGTTGACAATCTGACAGCAAATTGATAGCAAGAACTAAGAAAGACTGACTAAAACTTTGCTCGGTTTTTGCTATCATATTAGCAAAATATAGGCTTAAAATGTCAATTTGCCGAATATTTTGATTAAACTTGTCAATAATTTGTAAGCAAATTGTTATTTTGCTGACTGGGAATGTTTTTAATATTCACAATAAGTAATCAATCACTACTTTCGAGTATTAAATTTCTGTAAGGAATGGTGCTAATGAATTGTTTCTGACACCATTGAAAACATACATATTGATGTATACCACTAGTGTAATATTTATATGTATACTTCGAGAGCTATTTGTACAATTTCCAGTCACACCTGTAAATGTAACTTTATTGTATTTTGATAAAATACCTGAGAAATCTGTACATATCTCACAAACATCAGAGCCGACTTTGTACCAAATTTTGTTGGACGAAGTTACATAATCTTCCAATAATTCTGAAGGAAACTAAACGAGAAAACTCTTTTCGTTATATTAGTCTCGCATAAATTATAAAGCAGCAAGTAGAAAAGATGTAATACATAGAAAATTGTGTAGTCATCAGATCTGGTCTCGTACAGTTTAAATAAAAACGAACATTTTGTAGTCTCAGATTTCTAATTTAAGAATTAAGAGAAATAACGTAAAATATAATTTGCAAATGTCAATGTTAGAGAATACTTTTGATTAGCATTTTGTATTATTCCTACTCTATTACACACGAAAAATTAAATCTCTTTAATATGATATTTAAAATTTAAGTGGAAGAAAAAAAAACACGACAGTTATTCGCAATTGTTTCGAGATTTCTGATAAAACGTAACTGTAAATAGTGACATTAACAACGCTATACAGGCGTACTACGTATTCAACATAAGATTTCCTTCTGTAAGTAATGTAATACACTAAAATTCTCACATTTTTACTTTTATAATTGTGGTGTCGTTTAATTCAATCTCCCCCTGTGATTAAGGTACGGTTTTGCTAGAATCATTGTTATCTTAATTTTACAGCAACGTAGATTCCATATTTTTGCGGAAAGATCAGATTCGATTACAGTTGAAAGATATTTCTTTTTTTCAATCAAATATTTATTATCATCTTTTCCAAACGCAAGTCAAATACAATTGCCATTATCGAAACTTACGATTATAATGTGTAGCCCGGCAGATTGTCGTGATGTCCCACGATTAACTCTTTGTGTCACAACCGTTTTTTTTTTAATTTTGCATCCGGGGATTTTTCAGGTTACTGATTACGAATCAGAGGTCAGAATTTTAAAATTCAAAATGACCGATATCGCGGACTAATAATTAATGTAATTTTTAGTAAAATATTTAATATTATATTATTTATAAAAATAAATATTTAATAAAAAAAGATTTTAATAATAATCTCGAATTCAGATACAGCGACCAAAATACTCCTAAAAACTAAGTTCAAAATAATATGACTTTCTTCGTTCTTGGTTCGTTATCAATTCTGCTATTTTGAAAATTTGGAAATTTGGAAATTTTGGAAAATTTGGAAATTTTGATCTCGGATTAGGATTCAATGATCCAAAAAATCCCTAGAACGCCATTATAAAAGATATTCAAATTATTTATTTGGATTTACAGTAAAACATCGATTTTTTCATATTTTTTTAAAAGAATATTAATTTATAATAAAAAAAACGACGTATTGGAAAAATCTTAAAATATTCTGAAAAATACTTTAAAATATTCTAAAGGAATATTTAAATTATCGTTTTGATACTGATAATAGATGTAGTAAAAAATACATTTTTTTTTAAGTACAACTTTAGATAACTATTTTAGTTATAGTAATTATACTAATTACACAAATACAAATTTATAGTTGCACTTTTTTTTTAACACTTTATGTTCTAAGGATTCTACGAAAATAAAAAACCAATTAACGTCAAGAAATTCATCAAAATAATTAAAAACTGGAAAGAAGATAAAATTCTTAAAGTATCGTTATAACACAAAGGGTTAATTGCGCAAATAATGTTCGATACATTGATTAGAGCGATGTAACGCGCTTATCTCACCGGGATAAACCGTCCGGATCTCCTTTTTGTTTCTCTTTCTTTTTTTACTTTAGAAAGATCCATATATAGAATTAAGTTTATAACGTTAGCCTTCCTTGGCTTATTTTTTTTTATAAAATTTACGCTACTCTCTATTTAGAATTTGCAAATATAGCTCTAATTTAAACATTCGATCAGAGCGCGATCGAGGAATTTTGTGTCGAGATGGATAGCTTCCAGAAACACAAAAAATTTCTTACTGAATATTTATATTTGTGTATTAAATCATTATTTATATACCTCTGTACTTCGTCAATAAATCACTATTTCACAGCATCATTTTCCCATTTAAAATGAAAACTTATCGGTATCGTATGTTAAGTTTTTTTTCCCCCTCTTTTCATAAATTAAACATTTAATTGCATTCTTTCCCTCTTTTTCTCTCTTCGATTCAAAATGTTACTTTGCTTCAAGTAAAACTATTTATCGCATATTATATATCGACGTACGAAACGTACGAAACTACGCGAGACTGTACATACCTCCGTAAAATTTTTAACAGAACGGTAAATGTCCACTGCTTTACTGTAACTGCAGCAAGAGTTAGTTCAACAAGCTTCACTAAATTAACAACAAAATCTAAGTTACGTAGCCCATTATTTAGCGTGTAGTGTGTTCAACAGTGTGGATCATTTATCGCGTTTTATATTTCTCTCTCTTTCTTTCTTCTTAATTTAATGTTTTGTTTGCTTTTTTATTCGTTGCTATACATTCCCGTACTATCTGTAGGTATAATAAACCGCTAATCGTTCGTAGCATACAATGAAACATTCTCTCTCTGTACACGTTATCTAAATGAAAAATGTTCAATGTTCGTCGCGGCAGAAGCGATTGAAGCGATTTACGTAACGACATATGCGCGAGGCATCAAGAAAAATTAAAACGTTGCGAGTACCATTAGAGACAGTTTTCCTTTTTTGTCACGAAAATATAATAGACTGTCGTCCGCGTAAGTCCCGACAGTTTTAGATGAGAAGAAAACCGCCAGCACGTGTTTACTGCATATGTAAGCTGCATACTAAAACAAATTCTACCTCGTAAGCTTAAAATTAAAATTATTCACTAATTTATTTTATCCGATAATAGGTACGTTATGTTCGGATTCAAGGGGGCGATTAAAAACAATTATGCAAAAGCAGAGAAGGAAAATACAATTTGCATCAGCTCATCAAACATTCGCACAAGAACTTACATGAGAATTATTACACAAAGCCGCCCGAGATATACAAACGACATAATAATTTCCGCACGTGTCGTACTTATTATCTTGTTACTTATATATATACTTATTGTTTCGACTATACCTATCGGTGCACACGAGGCTTATACTCAACGTTTTATTGCACTTTTACATCGAGCCGCCTCTTCATCTTCTTTTTTTAATTGAAAAATCAATATACAAATAATATAATTAAAATTCGTCTACGAAAAAGAATTTCGGAATCGTGATGTGTTTACTAGGATTTAATTAAAATCAATTCTCGTTCTCCTTCTCATAGGAAATGAGCTAAAAAAAAAAAAACAAAATATTTGCGAATTTATAGGGAAAGTGTGTTCTTTGTGGTAGAGATTATTATATTAAACAGCACGCGCGCGCATGTATATATCGTGTAACTGCGAAATACAATCGGATCATTAACACGTGATCTCTCTACTACCCAGAAGCCTTTATACGTTCTATAGCAAAAGTAGTGACTTTCTCTATTTTTCTCGCTCCCACTTTAGTTGCGCTTCGTGTTTAGCCTGATAATTTAATCGCGATTTGCCGTTCGGCTAAACCGATGAAAATTTCCGTCACTCCTGTATTAAGTAGTCGGATGATATGAGCTAATTAGTGCCGCGTCCACCGGCTCCATACATGACGGACATGTCAGCGAGCGCAGCAACCAGTCGTCGATGCAGACCGCGTGGTAGGTGTGCATGCAGGGTAAATAGCGCACTTCTTCGCCCGCCTGCAGCTCCATCATGCATATCACGCACTCGCCCTTTTTAGCACCGTCGTACTCCCGCATCGGCAAATGCTGTATCAGTCCTATACGTTTCGCAATTCTCACTTGTTGTTCCTCTTCGCTCAAACCGGCAGAGCCAGTAGTCTGTACTAAATTGACTCCGATCCCACGACCAATATGCAAGTTGGTAGATTGTAAATGACGTTCCCTCGTAGCGATCGACGGATAATAAGCTGCTTGCTGTAGAATATTAAAAAATTAATTAATATTCAACCATAACATTTTTCCACATATTATTTGTAGATCCTTAGAACTTGCAAAAGTACAGAAAAGTTATTTAACAGAATATATATATTTCATTGTCAAAATTGAGTAAGAGTGTTTATGCCACTGCATTTACTTTATATACAGCAGCATTCAATGTATACTAATCCAATGTAAATGACTCCATTAATTATAATCTCTATATTTAAAATCAGGTCTATTTAATATTCGTAATTCATTTTTATATTTGAGACTATCTTAAGTACAGTCTTAAGATGTCATAAGCCAATCAATGGCTGTGTTCAGCTGACTCATCTGTTGAGTCTGCTAAACACAGTCTATGACTGATATTCATAGGGTTCTTATTTTAAGACTATCTTAAGTAATATCTTAACAAGCTAATATATTCTTCTGATTAGTTCATAAAATGTTAAAACTGTACTTAAGATAGTCTTTGATAGTATAAATGCTGGCCAGATATCTGCATTAACATCTTAAGATATTATTTCAGACAGTCTCAACATAAGAACTAACTGTGAATACTGGTTTATAGGGCTGCATTAACATCTTAAGACATTATTTAAGACAGTTTTAAAATAAATATGAATATCACCTTATATATATTCAAATAAAGAAGAAATGACAGACAAAGGAAGAATATCATAGACAAGTCAGAGAAAAGATATATTTAAGGAGACAATATTATCACTACTTGTATCATTCTACCTTTATTTTATGTTTAATAAAGAATAAAAAATAGAATGATACAAAGAATGCTAATAGCATCTTCTCAAATAAACTCAAAGATTATAAAATATTTCGGGTAAGATACAACAAGGGTGATAAGACAACAACAATAAACAGTAACGACGATGTACGTGAATTACGTTGTAGGGGATTGGTGGTCCAAGACCCTCCTGCGAAGATCCGCTTGTGGATACATTGGGTTCGGGATTATTGCTCAGGAGAGTGGTATTGTCCTGTTGGTTGCCGGTGGCGCGTTTCAAGCAGTTGCCCATGGTTCTCTCTTTCTCTCTCTCTCTCTTTGTCTGTTTCTCTCTCTCTCTCTCTCTCTTTCTCTCTCACTGGCGGCGAGCTGTCAGCTTTGCAGATCGCTCACACGTCGCATTCGCACGTCTACTCCAGATCGCGATCCCGCTCTCTCGTTCCGCGCGAGCGATTACAGGCTTCCGTGAAGACACGGTGACGACGGCGACAGCGCGACAGCGATTTTTGACGCACATTTGACGACCGTGCTGCTTGCCATTTCACCTGTATCGCCGCTCGTCGCGGCGCGACAACATCCACCGATGACTTGATGCTCGGCAAACGTGATCGAGGTGTAACGATGCCGTCGCAATAGTTGTCCAAGCACAGCCGTCACATACCCCTCACTGATTACTGATCAGCAGCAGCAGACTCACTACTCACTACCAGCTGAGCGTCGCCATGATGCGTGGAACTCAGCAGGCGATTCGTCTCATTCGTCTGCGCATCATTATGGTAACGGAAGTTGGTCGATTTCAATGCATCACTCTCGCGACGATTTCCTCGATTTTATCTCAGCTTTGTGCGCAGATTGAATTGAATGATTCCTTAGTTATCCCTCTCTCTCCCTCCTCACAAAATTTTTGTCCATGATGGAAGTAATGGAAGTAACAAGATGTGCTATTGCGCAGGCATTTTTACTGGCCAATGAGAGAGACTGAACTCAGCCATCTTGGACAATTTAAGTGCATATAATTAAGGGAAGATTCATGCAAAAAAAATTAAATAATAACTATGGTGAATAAATGTTACAAAATATTGGGTCATCTAAAAAGTATCCGCGGTACTTTGTCACTAGATATATGACCATCAACACACATCTAGTGACAAAAAACCGCGGATACTTTTTAGATGACCCAATATAATGCATAACGTTTAAAATGTTAATCTTTATTAATTAAAATTTTTATATTATTTAGAGGTTTTATTTGTACTATATAATTCATAAATATATTATATTATATTCTTGATGTATTATTTTTATCTATGTCACTGACGAGATACTATTGAGTGCTTTCCATTTGATGACACAAGTCTACACAAGCATCGTTCTATCCTTGTTCATTCAGAGAGTGACAAAGATAGAACAAACTTGTGTCGATTTGGTCATCAAATGGAAAGCACTCATATTAAAGACCGACATTCTTATGGTTTCGGCACACCAGGGTTTGACTATAATTAATAATAAGGGATTCCGCACAATAAAGGGAACAGAGAACAGAGAATAAGAATTTCAACCTATCAGAAACTGTGTATTCCACAATACATGATTTCTGATAGGTTGAAATTCTTATTTTCTGTTCTCTGTTCCCTGTTTCTTTTATTGTATGGAGCCCCTAACACCTGTCGTTCGACCCCTGTAACAGGGATATACTCGATTGTAGTTGGTTGGTTTTTATTATTTTTATTATTCCGATTTAAACTCTCGATGGAAACTGGGCAGTAACCTTCGAGGATGCGCAGTAGGAGAGTGAATTGTAGAAAAAATTTGATTGGCTATTTCAATATGCCAACGCTATTATACGCAGGAAAGTGTATTGTGATCAAAATTTGATGGGTTGTTTCCAGTATTGCTATCGCCATTACGCACAATGGCTGCGTTCAGCGGATTCAACAGCTGAGTGAGCGTTCGCTGTTATTGGTGTATTCTTTTAGATCATCCAATCAGCATTTTAGATCTCCGCTGAACACAGCCAATGATACACATTGAGCGAGTTCAAGTCGGCAAAGCGGCTTGGTCTGCTTGCCGAGTAATTAAACATGATTGGTTGGATCCACAAGTAAGAACCAATCATGCTCATTCGCTCGGCATGAATGCCTAACTATTTTGTCATCTTGAACTCGCCCATTGACTAATCAAACCTCGCCACAAATGCTTTGAATTTAATGCACCAATTAGAAGAAAGAATTTTACAAACTGACCAATTAAAAAACACTTCAAAGCTTTTGTAGCGTTGACCATACCCTTTGTATTCTTACATCATGATTGCCGAGTGTGCCGTGTGGCAGTCGTGTCGCGTTCGTAGTGTTCGTATTTCGAACCTCAAAAGGACGATTACTTCTGGAAAGGACGGTTAATCTCTGTGAATCTGACGAGGGCGAGTCCAGGTGAATTGAGGTAAACCTGCAAAGAGACTTCCGACTCGTGAGCCAGAGAATGGATGGTCATCGGGCGTCGCGATTTCTGGCGCTCGCGGCATCGATGAGCCTACTTCTGGCCACGTACACGCCGGGCCATGTAGCCGGCTCGGGAGTGTTGCAGATACGCGGTATACCGGTGGCGAAGAACTCGTTGTACCGGCCGGACCGTGATTTCGAATGCCTGGACGGCAGTCGGCTGATATCGTTCACCCAAGTGAATGATGACTATTGCGACTGTGGGGACGGCAGTGATGAACCCGGGACAGCAGCTTGCGCCAACGGTGTCTTCTACTGCGACAACGCCGGTCATAAGCCCGCCTATATACCATCATCATGGGTGAACGACGGCGTGTGCGACTGCTGCGACACAAGTGATGAGTACGCGTCCAGAGTGGAATGCATCAACAACTGCAACGAGCTGAGTCGGGAGGCCCGTTTGGTGCAACAAAAAGTGGAGCAATTAGCACGAGAGGGTAACAAGCTGCGTGTAGAGCTAGTGGCCAGAGGTAAGACCATCAAAACGGAGCATCAGTCACGTTTGGCCAAGCTGAGAACGGATTACACAGAAGCGGAGTTGATCAAGAAGGAAAAAGAGCTGTTGAAGAAACAAGCAGAGGAATTAGAAAGCATAGCGCTTGAGAAATACAAACCGGCCGAAACAGAACAACCGGCAACTGAAGAAGCTGTTGGGGAGGAGGAAGAGGAAGACGAGGACTTGAACGTTTCTGAAGTGGAAGATTATTTCAAAATACTGGATTCAGACTCCAGCGGTACAGTAACGCTAGTGGAACTGCAAACCAGGGCTACATTTGATAAGAACAGGGACGGTGCTGTGTCAGAGGAAGAAGCGTTGTATTTCCTTGGCGATAATAAGGAAGTCACTCTACAAGAGTTTACAGATAACGCTTGGGCAAACATCAAGCCTTTCTTGATGTTGGAACAAGGTAGATAACATCTAAGCTCATCATCTTTTTTTTCTACAGTCTGTAAACTATCAATTTCGTTACGTAATTGCAGGTATATTCAAAGCGGCAAAGGAGAGAGGAGAGATAAACGAGCATCAGCCTACGGACGACTTGGATCATGAGAAGGAAGGAGAAATTCTTGATGGAGAGGAAGAGGAAGTACCTGAGGAGGAACACGAGAAGGAATCACCAGAACCGGAAATTCAGTACGACGAGGAAACGCAGGCACTCATCGATGAAGCTACCAATGCTCGCGAACGTTTCCAGGAAGCAGAGAAGGCCATCAACGAGTTGCAGTTGGAGATTGGACAGTTGGAGGATAAGCTAGGCCGTGATTATGGGCCTGAAGAAGTGTTTGCGTCGCTTGACGGCGAGTGCTTTGAGTACACGGACTTGGAGTATATTTATAAACTGTGTTTCTACGCCATGGCAACCCAGAAGTCCAAATCCGGTGGTAGCATCAATCTTGGCCACTGGAACGAATGGATCGGACCGACCAGTGCCAAATACACTAAGATGAAGTATGATCGAGGTCTCACCTGTTGGAATGGCCCGGCGCGTTCCACAATTATCACTTTGTCATGCGGAATGGAAAATAAGCTTATGTCCGTAATGGAACCGAATCGCTGCGAGTATGCCATGGAGTTCTCCACACCGGCGCTCTGCAATCCTAACGCAGCGGAGACTGTGGACAAGCACGATGAACTGTAAACTCGTGGATTTGTATAGTAAAATGAAAACGCGATTAGTCGCACATACAATGTGAATGTCAGGCACTTGAGCTCTTTCGGTGGACCGCGAGATGCGAGCATCGAGTTGCAAGGATCGATAAGAAATAACGTTGAAATAACAAAAATTCATCTTTCGCAAGTATTTCCAATGCAATAGCAATTAGTAATGTAGCTAGTAATCTTCTTTATTTCAATGAGTATCTGTTCTTCGGTTGGGACCCAATATTACGTTTTTATTTCCAGATAGCAGTCATTACCGTTTAGCATTTAGGCGATAGAGTTCCACAGAGATTTCGAGACGCTATCGATTATCCTTTTTAGTATCAAAATTTGTACTCTCTTAAAGATGAAATAAGATCATTACCATGGATAAAATATTCGTTGTCAACGGAGCTTAGTCATGTGTTGGTTTGATCAAAAAATTCAATCGCTTTTACATTAATAAATCGTGGATCGTTCGAAATCGTTATAGCCCATTAACATGTTATGTATTTTATCGACCATTATAACTCGCATATCATCGGTCCACAATATGTTAATAAAAAAGGCGAAAAAATTCCTTGATCAACCTAATTAAATACAATACATGAATATATATCATTTAAATAATAATAACTTCAGTAACTTCAGTATTTTGAAACAAGAATGATAAATGTATTAAAATGTTTCCGCTATGTGCCACTATGTACGCAAATTACAACGATTATGATTGCGATCAATAATTCGTCCTTGCATCCGAGAAGTTGCATAATATTGAACTTGATTCGCTAGCGATAAAGTAATTATCTAGGATCTTATCCTGTTTCATGAAACCGCAAAGACCACATTGTTACGCGCGAATTCATTGCCAACGTGTTAAAAAAAAACTCGCTGTTACATTCCTCTTTTTGTACGTACACAAAGAGTTTCTACGTGATCTAAAAACATATAAAATCGTACGTGATGTAACGTCATGACTGACGTAAAAAAATCTGATTGAGATGTACTTTGTATTACTTAGTACACATAGCGTCACAAATATCTTAATATATGAGTTGCACGAGTATCGAAGAAGGAATGAGAAAGTATGAGAAAGAATGAGAAGGCATGTTAAAATATTTGTAACGCCGTGTGTACATACTTCGTACCGATAAGAGAAAAAAAAAGAATCCACATCTTTTTTGGGATTCGATTATCCACACGTACGTATAGACGATGTCCTAATGTTCCGCATTATACACTTAAGTCGGTGATTTTGTAATTTTTTAAGGACGCGCCACGGAAATGGCGCGAATATTGTGGGATGTGCATGTAATAAAAAAAGAGAAAGGGATTCTGTTGTCGAACCGTAATTTGCGATGGCAGCTTTATTTACATCAATGGAAAGAAAATCTGTTGAGTGTAAATGCGCGCGTGTATGTATGTCTGTGTGTAGAATTTCTCTTGTTATTCTGTATATATATATATATATAATATTACAGTAACGTGGTGGTTAAATCCAGTTTTCTTTGTTTTACTCTAAGAGACAATCTTTGCATCTTGCGGGATCCGAAACGTACGTCCATTATCTGAATAACTAAATGGGAGGGGGAGGGATTGATATTTCCCGCATTTCCTATATTTCAGTTTCTCAATTGATTCGGTAAGGCACTTGAAAGGCTACAAAAAATCATTTCTTCCTCGTGAAATTCGAAGAATGTAAGACGATATGCTCTATACAGCCTTTTCAACGCATTCTGGGTCAGCAAGAAAAATTGGGTAATC